GTACAATGTTACCTTATAAAATGTTTCATAGTCAATTTTCTTTCACAAATAAATTCAACAAATTATCTTGAAAAATTAAAGAAAAACTTCATCTTTAAATACATTTTTAAAAAAAAGTCACTAAACAGTGTTTGAAAGTCCTATATAAATAAAAGTAAACATTAAAATATTTATAAATTATTAATTGGATTTTATTTATTTTTGAAATTTATTAAAATATTTGTTTTTATTTAGTTTTATTCCTGAAATTGTAATGACTTTTTATTTAAAAATGTTCCCTTATTGCATCTTAAGTTGCACTAATGTTACCAATACTGATGAACATTTAGGTTCTTTAATATTGGGAAAAAAAATTATATGACATCGTATTTTTCTTATTTCAATAAAAAGCAACATTTATTCAGTTTTTGTCCAAAAAGATCATTACATTTTCCTTAATATTTATTTCAAATACATATGAGAAAAATTTTATAATTTTTTTTCAGATCATTTTATCCTTATTAAAATCAGCTTCTGTGGCTAACTCAGCTTTCCCCAAGTTGTCAAGAAGAAGATAACAAATTTGAATGACAATATGAAAATAATAAACTTTATTCCTTTTTTGATGACATTTTTGTTGATGATAAACAAGTTTGATAAAAACTTTCGAAAATTTACAATTTTTGGAAAATTCTGCGACAATAAATCATCCGATTTCAACGACAGAAAAGATCACCACGTAGATTTCTCAACACAGGAAATGGATTTGGGACTTGCTTCCACTTCATAATTTTGCAAATTCCTCAAATATAGACGTCATGATGAAAAGGTCTTCTTGCTATACAACAGATGCTCTGATTGTTGTTCCACTTCTAACACTCTTTATCAGTTCGGGAATAAGTATGAGCAGTGAATTTTCGAAATATTTTCTTCGACAAAGTACAAGCATTTAGTTATTAAGGAATCATTGCAACTTGCAATTCCAATTTTTCAGAGAATGATTACAACAGAAATTATCACGAAAATATCAAAAATTATAATGAAACCAGTCATGGCAAAAGTTAATTTTTCTCCAACAGACCAGAAAAATCTCCATGATCGATTCATTTGGCATAGATATCATTTAATAGATAATTCTAATTTTACTGAAAAATGTAATGAGACTACTGCAATTCACATTTTAAAACATTATAGCTTTCATACAACTGCGTCTATAAGGCTTTTTGCAAAACATCTTAAAGATCTTAGATTCGCTCCTCCAACGTTCGATAATTACTGGCTAAATAATCCTAAGTTGTACGAAAAATTAAGGTTTTATTCGTACGTAGAAATTGGATTATTTTGGGGAAAAGCAATTGAAAGTATTGAAAATATTTAAAACCAAGAAGACATGAGTTTAATAAACATTCTCCCAGGACCTGCGTTTGATGACTATATGGCTAATCAACTATTTAACACAATTTCTTTTGACAATTATTATGCGATAAGAATTTTTTTTGTCTAATCCTTATGCTAACACAGATCTTGATATTCAAAATGTTTGGAGACTAAAAAAAGCTATGTACAGTTTAGCAATACGACATTACGATTCATTTACTAATGTAGAAAGTGAGGAAATAATATTGTACTGCGTAAGAAGAGACAACTTTCAGAAAATCATTTCAAGTCACAGAACGATAACAATATATCAATTAATGCATTTTTAGTCATTCATGTGAAAAATATTTATGTTAATTCTAAACATTACATAACTCTTCCTCAAACTAAGTTCAGAATATTTGAGGAAAAATTTATTTTGATTGATCAAATTAATAGACATTTTTTATTTAAGAGGGTTATGGATATAAAGAAAAATGACTGGCTTCTTCAAGTAGCAAATAAAGCTGCTCAATATGAAAATAAAATTAATGGCAAAATATGTCAAGCCTTTTGAGCAAAATATTAAATGTAATATGAGGCTCACAATTATAATAGAAGTTAAAAATAATCTCCTGATTAATTTGCACATGTTTGTGATATCGTTGTAACATTTTTGTTGTACTCTTTCGTTGTTTATTGTATGGCAAAAATTATTTATAGAAAAATATTTTATAATTTTTAAGTATAATAATTTTCTTTTATATAACAATATTTTCACAAATATATCTTTGTTTCAAAAACGTTACTAAATTTTCTTTTAAATTTTACATTACTGCACATTTGTACACTATGACAATATTTTGAAATATCGTGACACTTCCATAATAATTTTATTATTTTATCGCGTATGCTATAACCAATGTATACATTATATGCCGCACGAAGTAATGAAATTATTATAGTAGCTTCACGACTTTTCAATATCATTATTATGTTCTTTTATACTACTGTAAAAGAAAATAATAATATGATACGAATAATGTAAGAATCAGTAAAGCAATTGAAATTTAAGTATCAAAAATTAGATTAAACAAATTATGAATAAATGCAAACTTAAAATTCAATATCATTGTGATACTGATAAATTCGTGTATGTAAAATAATCTCACTAACAATGGAAAATGAAAAGAGAAGGACCCCTAAGGCCTGTATTTCGCCCCCTTGGGATTTTCATTTAAATGCGGTTGAAAACTTTTTCTTAAGGTAGAAAAAGTAAGTTTTTATTGATTTTAGGTGAAACGGAGGTGTTTTGGTCAAATTAACTCTTACCCTAATAACACAAGATATCTTGGGATATATTGATAATATCCCGCAGATATCCTAGGGATGTCCTATGGATATCAAATGGATCTCTTAAGGATTTCCAAAAAATCGGCGATTTGGATATCCTTTGGATATCCCATGGATATCTGAGGATATCCACAGGATATCTTCTGGATATCTCTATAGACTTTCATTAATGTCCTCCAGATATCCCACAGATATTTTCTGGATATTCTCAGTATATCTTCTGGATGTCAAGAAGATATTCTCAGGATACTGTTTTTAAAGTCATTATGAGACTACGAGTGAGAATATTCTGTGAATTAAATTTTATATAAATAAAATAAAATGCAACTTGTTTTTCGAGAAAGTTGTTTAATTTGAAAAATTATTAACTAATGTTTTTCTCATTCGTGATTCATTCCTTTATTCATATGCTTAATATTGTCAGAAAATAAATTGGCTTTAAACAATATAAATTCTTCCCCGCAAATAACGAATAACTATTAATATTAATTATACATTAAGTGCATGAGTTTATTTAAAAACTTTGAAAAATGCGTTTCAAATCTTCATTTAAAATAAATTAGAAGCTCATAAGATTTTTCTTTTTATTATATTATTATTCATTATATTAGCTTAACAATTTTAACCTCAAAAATATATGTTGAGATATTAAATATCGCGTGAATATCCTAAGAATATCCCACGGATATCCTGAGGATATCCCATGGATATCCCATGGATATCCTGCGATATAATATCCAATAGATATTTTGTGGATGTCTTAGGGATATCCTATGGATGTCCTGTTGATGTCCCACAGACCGGCGGTTTGGATATCCTAGGGATATCATATGGATATCCCAAGATATCCTGGGGACCATTCTAGGATATCGACCATTGATATGGATATCCTATGGATATCCTAGGGATATCCTATGGATATCCTAGGGATATCCTATGGATATCCTAGGGATATCCTTTTGTTATGAGGGTAGATTTCAGGGGTTAAATAAATAAGGATATCCCAAGATATCCTGGGGACCATTCTAGGATATCGACCATTGATATGGATATCCTGTGGATATCCTAGGGATATCCTTTTGTTATGAGGGTAGATTTCAGGGTTTAAATAAATAAGGATATCCCAAGATATCCTGGGGACCATTCTAGGATATCGACCATTGATATGGATATCCTATGGATATCCTAGGGATATCATTTTGTTATGACGGTAGATTTCAGGGGTTCCTTTCAAAAAGTGTGTCAAAAAAATATGCAAAAAAACGTTATCCAATTGTTAGGCAATTATTTTGAATATCGTTACTCGGGGGTTTTCGGGGTCGCAAATTGCGAATCCGATAATAGTTTTTCAAAATTCAAAATGGCGGTTCCAATATGGCGGACGACTTTTTGAAAATCTAATGCAATTGGCTTGAAAATCTTTACTCGGGGGGTTTCGGGGTCGCTGATTACGAATCCGATGTTAGTTTTTCAAAATTCAAAACGTCGGATCCAATATGGTGGACATCAATGTTAAAAATTTATTGGATCCACTCGAAAATCGTTACTCGGGGATTTTTGGGGTCGCTGAATACGAATCTGAGGTCTATTTTCAAAAACTCAAAATGACGGATCCAATATGGCGGACATTTTTTAAAATACTACCACGCAGAATTTTTACTTAACCGAAAAATCATTTAACAGAATTTTTAATTAATAGAATTTTCATTTGTCCGAAAAAACAATCGACAGAAAGATTTCCTCGCAATTTTTATAATCAACCAAACAAAAATTATTCATAAAATTGTGATTGGTTGATTTTAAAAATCGCGTCGAAATCTTTCTGTCGATTGTTTGTTCGACCATTTGCAATTTCGAACAAATGAAAATTCTATCAATTAGAAATTCTGTTAAATGATTTTTCTGTTAAGTAAAAATTCTGTAGTATGAAAAATCGGTTATACGAGGAATTAAATCAAATAATAATTCGAACAAATGAAAATTCTATGAAGTAAATTTTCAGTTATATAAAAATTCTGTAATATAGAAAATCGTTTAATGAAAATTCTGCAAAATAGTAATTCAATCAAATAAAAATTCACCTCAAAAATAATTATGACAAATCAAATTCCATAAAATTAAAATTCTAACTAATGATTTTTAGAACATAATCATGCGTTCTCATTAATTATTAAAAAATTCTTGCTGTGAGGCAGTTTCTTTTAAACTTTAGTTTTTCACTCTTATGACTCTACTTGATTATATTTATAAAAAATATTTAAAAATATTAAATTTTTAAAAATTTGTTTTATTGTAATTAATTTTTTTCTTACCTGTACATATCCAAAAGTCAAATATGGACTTTGAAGAGGTGATAAATCAACCCATCGTTCAAATTCTTCATATTCTCCATAACATTCGATAGGAATTTTACATTCGCCCAGCCATTGTAAACCCCAAATTGGATGTTGATCAAAAAGTCGTATATCAATATATTTTTGATCACAAATTTTAAGTACTGGAAAGGAAAGAATTTCATGCCATACAGGAGCTGGTCCATCTGCTGGTGATGTTAATCGAAAAGTATCACCCCATTGAATTTCTACCAAAGGTTCAACTGTTGCCGATTCCTCTCTTACAGGAATTTCAACTCCTCTTAATATTGTAATTGATAGAACAGGCTTTTTATTAATATAACTTCTCGACATTTCTTGAAGTTCCAAAGGTTTTTTTCCCTGTATAAAATTTCGAAGACCAAGCAATGACATATTACTCTCCGATACTGAAATTTGAGATGATTTAGATTGATTTCTTTCATGTATATTCTCTTTTCTAAAAGTCTCTCTAAGTTTTAAAGAAAAATGTTCTAGTAGAAAATATCCTATATTTTTTTTAATTTGTTGAATTGGTCGGAAATAAAATATATTATGACTAGGATCATTTGGATCATTTAGTACAGGATAAACATATGACGTTTGTTCAACTTCAGAATATTGTTCTTGATTAGATGACGATACACTATAAAATATCGTACCAGAAAAAAGATTTCCAAAATCATCATTTATTCCAAATTGTACTTCAATTTTCATATTTTTTTCATCAACTTTTGGCACATATAGAGGAAGTCTACTGTAAATTCCTCCATGTGCATTAACTTGAATTAATAAATCATTGTAATTTAATGATTTATTTTGAAATAACAATTTATGAACTTTTCGATTAAAAGGATATTTTGTTTTACAAATAACTTTATTTTCTAATAAAATTGAAATTGTTGTAATTTTTAAATTACAATCAGTTTGAACTTGAGTTTTTTCCAATTGCACATCGTGAAATGTTATCTCTACTAATTTATTGAAAGTTTTAAATTTTTTTAAAATATTCAATTTAATTTCCTGATCTTGAAAGTAACCTAAAATATTATTTGCCGTTAAATGTTTTACATTTACATAAAATCCATCACTTTTCAAATCGTTATTGTAATTGTCTTTTGGATGTTTATATCTTTTAGCAATTTTTGATACACTTTCATTATTAACATCTTTTATTGTTGGACGAATACAATGAAGATCAAAATTATGTAAACTCGTATTTTTTGAAGTAGTTTGTTCGTCTGTAATTTCTTTACTCATTTTTAAATTTTAAGCTTCATTAAATATTTGTTTATTTTAAAAAAATTACTATTGATAATTCTTTGAATAATAATAATAATTAATAATAATAACAAATTCTTTAAAGTCACAGAACATCACACTATTTTCAATGCAGTTCAAACGCAACTGACATTAGATCCACGTGTATAAACAGTATCAGCGTTTTGTTATTAAGCTATACGTAACCATAGTAACAAGTAGTACGCACAGTAGCAACAACCCTCCTTGGTGGATCGCGCAAACCGAATGCTAACCCAATTCAGTTGACATTGGGTTTGGGGATAAAAATTTCAAAAAATCAATAAAAAATGGTAAAAACAATTATATTGCTAGTAATAAATGGATATTTAAAGTGTTAATTTATGCAATATTTTTGATAAATTAAACAATAATTATTAAATTAATAATGTGTAAAGTACAAAAATACTTATAAATTAAAAAAAAAAAATTATAAAAATATCTCTCAGCAAACGAAACCAAATTGAGATGAATAGAAATGAATTACCTTTTCGTGGATTCGTATTAATTCCATTTTATGATCCGTCAGGACGAATTGAATGGAATAGAAATGAATTACCATTTAAAAATGACAAATTGTATATTTTTAGGGAAATGATACTGAGTAATTATTTCAATAACGTCACCACCAAAAAAAAAAAAGTTCTCGGTTTGATCTGATACTTCAATAAATTGTTGTTCTATATGAAAATAATAAATCCCTAAAATATTAATTCATTAAAAAAAATTGTGTATAGAAAGTAATGGGTACTTTACTCAATGCCGAAAACAGTTTTTTGAAAAAAAAAATTTATCCCCTTTTTTCAAAAACAACCCAAGACGCATGAATATGCACTAAAGCTAATTTTTTAGAATTATATTTTAATTGAATTTTATTTTGTAGAATATTATTTTTGCATAATAGTAATTTAAATAAATTTTAATTTTGCAGAATATTCATTTGTTCGAATTTTTATTTTACAGAATAAATTATTAACTGATTATTAATGTTGCCGAATTTTTATTTAGACGAGAATTAATTAGCCAGAAATTCAATTTAATCGAATCTCAATTTGTGCGAAACGTTGTTTCGTAGAATATTCATTTTGCAAAATAGGTAATTCAAAAAATTAATTATTATGCAGAAAGAAAATTAGAAAGAATATTAATTTAACATAATATTCTTCTGTTCGAATATTTATTTTACAGAAAGTGGAAATGACCGAAATTCATTATCACAGAAATAATTTGTCGCGAAGTTTAAAATTGACCAATCACAATTTTTATGATATTATAAAAAAGCTGAATCAGAATTCGAGGTCCGTTTTACCCCATTAGATCAGGATTTTGAGATAACCTCAAAAAACCAATATGGCGGACACTTTTTCGAAGAATTCATCGAATTTGCCTAAAAATCGTTACTCGGGGGTTTTTTAGGGTCGCTGATCATGAATCTGATGTCAGTTTTAAAAATTCAAAATGGCGGATCCAAAATGGCTAACACATTTTCGAAAAATTCATCGGAATCGCATGAAACTCGTTATTCGGGGGTTTTCGGAGTCGCTGATTACGAATTTGAACTTTGTTTTCAAAAATTCAAGATGGCGGACACTTTTACGAAAAATGACGTCATGGCAGATACACTTAAGAAATTTGTTACGATGACATCTTGAATTTTTGAAAACTGACTTCAAATTCGTAATCAGCGACTCCGAAAACCCCCGAGTAACGAGTTTCAGGCGATTCCGATGAATTTTTCGAAAAAGTGTCCGCCATTTTGAATTTTGAAAAACTGACATTAGATTCGTGATCAGTGACCCCAAAAACCCCCAAGTAACGAGTTTCAGGCAAATCCGATGAATTTTTCGAAAAAGTGTCCGCCATATTGGTTTTTTGAGGTTATCACAAAATCCTGATCTGATGGGGTAAAACGGACCTCGAATTCGGATTCAGCGGCCCAAAAAACATAAACTAGGCATAGTTAGACCCCCAGATCAAAACTTTTTTTTTTTGTGTGTGGCTGTGTAATTTTGTGAATTCATTATTTAGAAATTCTTCAATCAAATTGTCTATAAAGTAATATATCCAAAGGGGTAAGAATTGAAAAATAAGGATTGTTTGTCTAGAATAGAGTCAAAATTTCTCAAACGAATCATCTAAAATTAAAAAATTTAATTTTCAATATTACCTAAATAGTTTTTTATTCTTATTGTGATCAAAATAAGTTTCTAAAACTATTAGAACAAAATAAATATTGTTTATAAAACAATAAAAAATTTTAGCTATCTTGACCTTTTTACACCAGCCGGATGTATATTATGCCCCACTTACAAAAACCAATGTAATTTTTTTAAATATTTATATTTTTTAATACGATTAAGCAAAAAAAAAATAGCCAAATGTTTATGAAAATTGCAAACATCGTAAAATAAAATCAGATTTTATATAGACGTAAATGTCAAAAAAAAAAAAAAAAAAAATTATTAAGTATAAGGATTGAAGATTTTTGAACCACTGAAGACGAATCTGTTTCAAAACTAAAAAAAATTAAAATGGCGTTTCCAAGATGGCATTTAAAACATAAAAAATGAAATTTGTCAGAAATATAATTATGTTAAAAATTTTAAAAATAGAATTTTTGTTTAATATTAAATGTGTAATTTTTAAAAAAAACCCAAAAAAATTTTTAATTTCAAAATTGAAATTTTTTAACTATTTTTGAAAAAAAATATGAATTTTGTTTTTGAAATCATTTTACTCATTTATAACATATTTAAATTTTATTAAAATCAGTTCAGTAGTTTTCGAGAAAAATTGAGTTTTTTCATTTTTCTTTTCCCTTTATAATTCCACAAAAAAATTTGAAAACTACAGTTTCTTAATTTAACTTGTGCCCAATTCTTGTTGGAAAAGAGAATACAAAATTTATTGTTTTATTTTTTTCTCAAAAAGTACACGAGCAAAATAAAAAAAAAAATTTATAAACAAAAATTGTTCCTCTTTAAAAAAAAAAAATGGAAAATTATATTTGTCCTCATTTGATATTTAAAAGCATTCACAAAATTTAGATAAAACCGATCTAAGGTAACAAAAAATGATTCAATGAAAAAGACAAATTATTCTCACGCAGAAATTAGAATAAAATATAATCAACATAAAATAATTGAATAAAGAAATTTTCCAAAAATTTTCATTAAAAAAAACTTATAGATCAGGATTCTTTAATAAAAATAATTTGAATAATAATAATAATGAAAATTATTATAGTGCTTAAAATGGGACACATGAATTGAAACTATAAGAAATTTTGCGTTATTGAATTAAAAATTATTATCAAATTTCTATGAAAGGGAATTACAAATATACACAGTTAGTTTTTAAATTTTTCTTTCAAATTCAAAATGGCGGATTCAATATGGCGAAAATTTTTTTAAAAATGGTCAGTTTTGCTTAAAATTTGTTACTCGGAGGTTTTTGGGTCTAATTTTTAATTTTTTTTGTCCGACATTGTCTTTCCGCCGAAAATTATTTTTTAAAAATAGTTTTATGTTTTTTTTTTTACTTAAAACTAATGGTATATTATTTCCAACACTCTAAGGGACCATTTAAGCAAAAAAATTCTATTTTTTGAAAGTGTGTGATGTTATACCTTAAATGAAAATTTAGATAATTAGAGAATCTGCTTTACAAAGTTCGGCTAAACCAAAATTTTGCAATATAAAAATTCTATTGAGTTTTAAAGTTTATTTTATGAAATTCTATAAAATATAAATTCAATAATTTTTAATTTGACACCTCAAAAATTCAATTATGTTCAATGTGAGGAATTTTCATGTCTCTCAAATATTTTACTTATTTCTTGAAAATTGAATAAAAACCGGCATTTTAAAAATGAATCCTAAATTTCTTATGTTATACTGAATCACACCCAACGTTTTTATTTAGAGGAATAACATTAGTCAACATACGACTTATTCATATATCAGACAAGTAAATTAAAGTACAAACAGTACAACAATCATGAATCATCTTTATAATAAATGATATTTATAATATAATTAACAATAATAAGCCAAATATTATTCTTATGTGTACTCTAATATAGTTACTGCGGCATTAACCAATAAGCTTATCTAAACATAACATTTTTTTTTTAACATGAATGTAATTATAATGGAAGATCCATTTATTTTACAATAAGTTACTGGAATAAGTATCGCCTGAAAAATTCTTTACATATATCAAATTTTCATGCGTACATTTTAATTATTTCTGTTGTTTTCACAATATATGTATAATAAACATAACATACATATGTTTGCTCTTTACGTAATTATACATTTCAAATGTAGATTCGATTTTAGATTTTTTTAAATATATATATATAAAGCTAAGAACTAATATAATAATTTTGCAAATGTCAACTTTTTATACATAAATTAAATTGTTAAATTTAGTCTGCAAAATGCAAAAGAATTAATAAAAATAAAAAATTTTTAATATCCAGCGTCAAAAAAAAAAAAATTGTGTTCCGATAATTTCTATAAAAAATAAAATATTACAATTAAAATCAGGGACGAATGTTATTAAATAATCACAAATAGGTGAAAGATAAGAAATTAATTAAGTTCAACTATAAAAAATATAATATAATAATTTAATTTTGTTCTTAATTAAAAAAGCAGGCTTTGTACTTTATTGCATTTGGTACATTTGTTCTTTATGGCTAAACTCAATCAATCTGATATTTTCTACCTTTTCTTTTTAAATATTACGTAAGTCACTGACTCTAATGAAAAACTAACAAGATACAATTTTTATTTAATACAAATTGCTTAATTTTTATTTTCAATTATTTTTTTTTTTTTATAGAAAAAATCGGAAAAACAGTGTTTTTTGTCAAATATAATATTTTAACTTAATTCCTGCTGGATGCGAAAAAGAAAATTTTATACTATTGCAATATTATTTTTTTTTTACAATAGACGTTGAGTGATTAACATTTTAAACTCACAGAGTTATACACTCTAAACTAATAACAAAAATTCATCCAACTAAGTCGTTATAACAGAATATTTTTCTCAAAAAAGAAAAAAAATATTTTCATATATATATATTGTCTACTCGAGCACATCTGTACTTTATAATTTCGTTAGATATTTAATATTTCATTCAAAATCTTGAAACTTCAGAATGTCTACTTTTTTTCATGTTGATACAAAAAAAAAATTTTTTCCATTTCAAAATATCTAAGAAAATATTTTAGATTTTAAAAAAAATATTGACATTATACTACAGTATTTTCAAATTCGTTGTTTCTTGATGGTGTAAAGACAAAAAAAAATTTTTACAAATATACTTTACAAGAGAGAAAAATGTTTGTTTTTTTTTTTTTATAGAAATAAAAGGAAAAATTAAAAGTAAAATTCATTGCAAAATAAACCAATAAATACAAAAATAACTACATTTTTTTTTCTTATATTTTGCAGTTTCATAACACTGAAAAAATGTTTAACAATTAATTGATATGTTTGTTTATTCATTTAAGCAATTTGTTAAAAAATACTAAAAAAAATTTTTTTAACTAAGAATTAATCGATTTTTTCCTTTAAGCAATTTGTTAACAATATCGCTTGTCGGTTAAAAAAATTAATTTCTATCGTTTTTACACAGATATTAATTTTTTTAGAAAAAGTAATTTCTTCTCGAATGTAAAATATATGTGAAATTTAATGCGCTTTACGGTAATTTCAAAATATTAAGATATCAAAATAAAATTTGGGTTTCATTAAAAAAAAAAAAAAAATTAGAATAATTTTCTTCAAATTCAAATTCAAAAAATTTTCTTCCTCAAAAAAAGTTTATTGTTTTTAAATTAAGCAGATACTTATACAAATAGGAAATTATTCAAGATAAATTAAATATTCCACTATTAGAAATGTTAATTATTTTTAAAGACACATTTATTTTGCCAATAGTCTGAAAAAAAAAAAATTACAAAAAGTATTATCCAAAAATATATATTATCTCTTGTAAAAAAAAAGTATAGTAAAATTAAAATAAAAAGACTATTTAAGAGCAAAATTTAGTTATTCGAAACTTCCAACAATACAAAAATTGTGAATTCTATTCTACAAAAATATGAATTTTTGTATTAAAAATTTTCTATTAACTGAAAATATTTGTTGAAATAAAATTATTCAAATGAAAATTGAAAATTTATTTACATTTACTTTAATTATTAACAATTCGATTTAGAAAAAATTTACAAAATGTAGAAAAAACAATTTAAAAATATTTTAGTAAAGCATAAAAATAGAATTTCCCCAAGTTTTAAGCTTTTGAATGATTATTATATTTTAAATTAAAGAAATTTTAAAAATTAGGAGTGCACCAGTCAACAAAAAAAAAAAAAATACTTTCGTATTATTTACATTACGATTTATATATGAAGCATATTCCAGTGCAATAATATAAAATAAAATAAAATATTTTGAAAAAAATAAAGGTCAAAAGTACTTTAACCCAAAAAAATGCAAAGAAATCTATATATAAATAATTTCAGACTGCATATTAAAACAAATAACATTATTTATAATTATTAATAGTGATCAACAGTAGTTATCATAAAAATGATATTTAAAAAAAAAAACTCAAATTTTAATAATTAAAAAATTGATGATGCATCTTTAATTAATTTCAAAGATATAAATTATCTTACTTCGAGTTCAAAAAAAAAAAAAAAATAAAACAAAGAAACTTAATTATTAAACAATTTTTTAAGAATATTATCAACAAAAAAAATTTTTCGAAAAATAGTTTTCTTCTATTCTTTTTCTTTTTTTTTCGTTTTGAACACATCAACAAACGAAAGTTAATTATTATATTTCTAATTTTCTAATACTACTATGTACAATGACACAGTTTGGGAATAGATGCTGAATTTCTAAACAATATTCACTTTAAGAAAAATAAAAGAAAATAAATTAACCTTAAATAGATCTTCGGCACTAGATGAGCTGCTGTTTGTCTATTAATACAATTATATACATACAGGCACACATATATGTATATAGAATGTATAATAATACTTATATAGTCATAAAAATATACGACTAAATATAATAATAATAATTATTAAAATATAGTTATAAGTGGCGATTGAATTAATAAATAATGCTAATATTTATAATTTCTTCATATAAATCAAACAGCAGAAATTGTAATATTTCATTTCTACAATAAATCATTTTTTCAACAGCTAAATATTTCAGCAAATATAATACGTTTTTCATTCTTGTTTCTTTACACATTTTTTCAAAATTTGACAAAGCAATTAAATATGCAACAAAAAAAGAATAATCTTGCGTTCCAATTGTTAAAGTCCTTTGAAAATAGTGTGCACTCATCTATAGATGCAGAGAACTTTAAAAATTCGTATACATATCCTCTCTCATTGCACGAAATTTTTTTTTTTATTTTTTCATAAATTAGTACTCTGCATTCTCTCATTATATTTTTTTTATCGCCATAAAATTTTAACATGAGTTACTATGAATGATATATTTATAATCATAGGTTTAATAGATTGTTTTTGGATTTAGTGTGTTTGTGTGTATGTGTATGTGGTTTTTTTTTCTATCTCTACTGCGTTACTAAGTCAACATAATTTGCAGGATACAGGCCAACTCTGCCGTCTTTTCTTCCTTTACACCATCCTTGTTCGTCCTCATCTTCTAGTTTTTCAAATATATCCCCTGAAAATTAATTTATCAGTTTAATTTAAAAAAGTTACATTAATTTAAAATTAGAATTACAAGAATAAATTTTTCAATATTTCGCTGAGAAAATTTTTTTTTTTTTTAATTATAACTGAAATTTAATAATTTAAAGTTAAAGATGTGCGCCGCCGCGTTTTTATTCGCTGATGCTGTTTCTGTACACCAATTATACAACTACGAAAATCGATTCTCTACACTACAATTTCATTTATCGATATCTATCGTTGCAACGATCAGCTGATTTTATTCTGTTGCGTTGAATTCTGCTTGATGTTTAAATATTATGTGACGTTGCAAAATTGTTGCAAGTCACAAATTTATATATTTAAATTAATTTTTATTTTGAAAATTAAAAATTTATTGATTTCGTCACTTTTTACTCTCTGGAAGTTACACGAACTTTCCAAGAATGGTCAATATTTATTATTGTATTATTTAATAACTAATTTTGTGAAATTTTGGGGTCATTACATTTTATTTCACCTATAGTCGTTGCGGCCTAATTTTAGAAAAATTTGATATTTCATATTAACGACTTTTAATATCCGTACAATTTATTTTTGACAATTATTTTATGCAATTTTTTTTTATTTACGTTGAAATTTAATTTTTAAGTTGAGTTTCACGGAAAATAGGTTAGTTTGAAAGCTTTGGAAATTTTATAAAAAAGAACAGAAATAATTTAGTTAGTAAATTTTTTTTTCATTGATATTTGTTAAAAATAGTCTAATTTACCAATGTTAATTGATAATTTTGTAAAAAAGGCCAAAATACTACGAGAAAATTAATATTCAAACTTACCTGTAAAATGTCAAAATTTTTCACATTTTATTTATACTTTCCAAGAAAGTTTATAAATATTATAAAATTTATTACTACCTAACAATAAGTACTTTCCATGTACTTTCACATGATATGTTGGCTTTTTATTTTTATAATATTGAAATATGAGAAATTTTACCTTGAATGTTGAACTTTTCAGGATTTTATCTGATTTTGAACACTTATATCTTCGCAGGCGATTAATGAAAAGATCCCATTTTGGTTTTAAAATTTAAGTTTAATCTTCTTTATTCATTTTATCAAAATTTGGTGATGGAGAACGAGCTACTTTTTATTATTATTCACTTTAAAAAATCTACGTTAAAATACGAATTTAAAGGTTAAAAAACAAGTAATTTTATAAAAAACTGAAGTTGGTTTTCTCAATATAGATTTATTTGTATGATTTTTGTTTATTAAAATACTTGTTTTTTAACCTTTAAATGCGTATTTTACGGTGAATTTTTTAAAGTGAATAATAAGTAGCTAATAAAAAGTAGCTCGTTCTCCATCATCAAATTTTGATAAGATGAATAAAGAAGATTTAACTTAAATTTTAAAACCAAAATGGGATTTTTTCATTAAATTAAATAAATAATTTTTTATGAAACCTTGTATCTCGGGGTTTTCCGGGTCGCAGATTACGAATCTGATGTCAGATTTTCAAAATTCAAAATGGCGGATCTAATATGGCGGTCAAAATTTATAAAAGTTCATCGAATTCACTTGAAACTTGTTACTTGAAGGTTTTTGGAGTTGCTGATTACGAATTTGATGTCGGGTTTTCCAAATTCATAATGGCGGATCCAATATGGTGGTCGAAATTTATAAATGTTATTATGTTATTATCAGCGACCCCAAAAACTCCTAGACACCAAGTTTTATAAAAAATAATTAATATTTATAAATTTCGACCGCCATATTGGATCCGCCATTCTGAATTTTCAAAATCTGACATCATATTCGTTATCAGCGACACCAAAAACCTTCAAGTAACAAGTTTCAAGTGAATTCGATGAACTTTTATAAATTTCGACCGCCATATTGAATCCGCCATTTTGAATTTTGAAAATCTGACATCATATTCGTAATCAGCGACCCCAAAAACCCCTAAGTAACAACTTTCAAATGAATTGGTGAATTTTTATAAATTTCGACCGCCATATTGGATCCGCCATTTTGAATTTTGAAAATCTGACATCAGATTCGTAATCAGCGACCCGGAAAACCCCGAGATACCAGGTTTCATAAAAAATTATTTATTTGTACAAGATTTCCTATCACCTTTCATTGAAGGGTTGTTTTTACCCCTAAAAGCAAAAAATGACCTGATCTAGCAAAACGGCCAGACACGGGTATCTTTTTTTTGGTCCTAGTTTATGAAAATCATTGATTTTTTCGTGTGTGAAAAATCGTGTCGGACGGTGTTATAAAAATAAAAAGCCAACATATCATGTGAAAGTACATGAAAAGTACTTATTGTTAGGTAGTAATAAATTTTATAAAATTTATAAACTTTCCTAGAAAATATAAATAAAATGTGACAAATTTTGACATTTTACAGGTAAGTTTGAATATTAATTTTTTCGTAGTATTTTGGCCTTTTTTACACAATTATCAATTAACGTTGGTAAATTAGACTATTTTTAACAAATATTAATGAAAAAAAAATTTACTAACTAAATTATTTCTGTTCTTTTTTATAAAATTTCCAAAGCTTTCAAACTAACCTATTTTCCGTGAAACTCAATTTAAAAATTAAATTTCAACGTAAATAAAAAAAAATTGCATAAAATAATTGTCAAAAATGAATTGTAGGGATATTCAAAGTCATTAATACGAAATATCAAATTTTTCTAAAAATAGGCTGCAACGACTATAGGTGAAATAAAATGGAATGACCCTTTGTCTATTTCGAGTACATTTGTAATCATCTGGAAAGCCTGAAACCTGTTTAAATCCTGTCTACTTTCCTGTTATCCTGAGTCAAGATCCAATCAGTCAATTTCTTCTAGTCGAACCTCGAAAATTATTCGATTTTCTTATTAAGGGGGTGTGACACCTTTGACCAGAAAAAAAATCAATGTTTTTTTGTTTTCTAAAACGATACAATATGATGTGTAGAATAGAAATTATATCAGCAAAAGCGATTTCATATGTTGAAAATTTAAACGCGTTTTTCTCGAAATGACATTTTTCAAAACGGTGGGCAGTCTAGCTCGAACAGTTTTGATCGAATTGACTTCAGCCAAAGTTTTTTTTGATCGTCATTTACTAATGCTTTAGAGTACGTAGCGGATTTTTTATAAGGCAGTCCAACTTGTGCCGTAGCGTGACGTCACTTTTCAAAATGGTGACTGGTTGGAAGACGTCACGCTACGTCACAAGTTGGACTGCCTTATTGGTTTTTTTTGGCAATAGATTTTTTGAAATAATTTCGCCTTAAAAATCGACTTTTTCCTTCAAATAGCTACCAAATTCACAAAAATTAATATTCTTAAAATATCTTACGTACTCTAAAGTTAAATCTATCACAGATTTAGAAAAAATTTAAATTTTTATTTTATATTAAACGGTCTAACCGGAATCTTGCCCACCGATTTGCCCTGCAGAGAAACGAGACCAACTTTAGTGACATCTATAGTCAACAAATTAAATTTTTTTTTTAAGTACAAATATATTTTCGTAAACTTAAAAAGTTAACAAATAAAGTATCCAGAACCAAATTTTGTTTATTTTATTCCTGTGACTTAAAAAAATTGAAAAACAAGTTCAAAGGTGTCACTCCCCCTTAATAACTTTATAAATTTTACCGTTTCCTGCCTTTAATTTTGATTAAACTGTGTATTTGAAGATTCAAAGAAAATTCCATTGTTTTGCGAAGATTTATTGTCAATCTTTGGCTTTCCTATTTGTAAGAATTGGAAAAAATCTAGTAGTCATCCTCCTCTTTTCAAGATATTTTTGGAGCAGAAAAACAATAATTCAACATCTTTTGGACCGAATTGATAGAAATCTTTCATCAATTCAGAAAAATTAATTATTAAATTAAAATTTAAGAAAATTGGAACACCTTTTGTTATTTGAAGCTATATTCACTTTATTTAGTCACTTCCCGAAAAATCTATTTAAAATAAATATTTGAAGATCAAGAATCAACAATTTTTGGTATCTAAGAAAAATAATATTTATTTCATTAAAATAATTGAAGATCAAAAATCAACAAATCTTAGTTGCTAAGAAAAATCTATAAAACGACTAGAAAACAGGACTCGACCTCTTTCGTTTGGTGGCTTTCAGAGAAGAATAGTGTGAAAAAGTTTAAATTAAATTATTTTCTTATTAATAAAATATTTGAGAATTAATTTATTAATTGTGAAATAGAAGACAATTATTTTGTGAATATTCAGGCGAGACAAATTTTGACTTTTAAGAAAGAAAAATTATTTATTTGAATTTTATTTATTTACTTGAATTTTCTCCGATTTAATAATGTTTGTTTAATTTTTAAATTCATTCATAATGTGATTCAATATTGTGATTTATTTGAATTTAGATTTATTATTTTTTTGGAAAATTCGGTCGAAAGAGCAATCCCTATTTTCTTTATTAATCCCCTTTTTGTTTTCATTGAAATTGTAAGTCGAACTCCTCCGCATGTCTTAACAAGATTGGGACTGAGTTAGCCAATCAATAATTTTATTATGTGATTTTATGTTTATCTTAATTTATTTATTTTTGATTCGCAAAGGATCTGGCGCCCGACTTGTTTAAATTTTCATTTTATTAAAATATTACGATCTCAGTAATATTTCTCATTATTTATTTATAGTTTTATATTGTAACAGGATTTTAAATTGACGTAACTCTCTATGAAATTTTAATTATATTATTTTCAGGGGTAGTTAAAAATAATACGCCCCTGGAATGAACCCTTATAGGCGCATGCGTCTCATCAAAGAAATTTGATTAGAAGTGGGCAGACGACAGGGCAAATTTGCCAATGACCCTACCTAAACCCTTTATTAAATATAAAATGCTTAATAATAAGAAAACTTTAATTAAGCAATATAAAAATATTTTTACTATTGAATTTTTTTTTGTTAATTATATTGCTTCCTAATAAAAAAATACTAATTTCCTTAATATACTTA